AACAAACAGCAAAGCGACATAAAGTCTGTTGTCTGGCTATTTTAGTAGGCTGTATGTTTTGATTTGTAATTTGGGAACATGGTAGAAATGATAACAAGACCATTGATATTGCTATCTTACATGAAGAAAAAAAAACTGGCATGTAGCATTCTTGTATTTTTACTCTTGAATAATTTTAAGGAGCTCTAAAGTCTTAAAAGAAGTAACTTTCATTTGTTGTTATCCAGCAATAGTAAACCAGAAATATGGGAATGATTTGATCAAATGAACTAAGAGATAAAGAAACAGGTAAACACTATATAAAAATAAACATAATAGTATTACTGTACTTCATTCACATTTTCCTTAAAGAGCAATAATGTGGTGACTCTATCTGATACGATATATTCTGGCTGTGAATTTTGCCTTTGATATTTATAAGTATGTTGTAAGATTAAAAAGTCATGATTGGCCATGCTAACTATGGCTGTTAGGAATTGTGGTTCAGCAAAAACTGTTGAGTTGGAAATTTCTCATTTTGCTTAGGAAGTGCTGCCAAGGGCTACATTAATCAACTTTCTTCACCTCTTGCCAGAGATACTGGACTTCAGCTTCCTTAGTTCCTGTCCAACCATTAATTAACCAGAATTAAAGAAATGGAAGTTAAGATTATTACAACTATTGGCGATTAGTTCTTGAACAGAACAGGAACTTCCATGAAGCAGCAATATTTTCGGCTGCAAAGTAGATGAGAATACATGACACAATTTAACTATTAAAATGAATAGCTATATAAATTAATGGTGCTGTCCATATGCATTTCCTGTCCATAATGCAATTCATTCTCAAATGAAATTCAGTTATTCTAGACTCGGTTCCATTGAAATTGGCAGATTAAGACAGGTTGTTCATGAGATGTGTGGGAAGCATGTTTCTGAGGACAGTGGACAAATGAACATTTTGTTGACTCTTAAGAAAAATGGTTGTGGCTCTTATTGTGGCCCTATATATGATTAGGGAACCTTGGTAGCGCAGTCGTTAGAATGCAGTATTGCAGGCTAACTGTGCTGACTCACCGACTCAAGATTGACCCAGCCTTCCATCCTTCCAAGGTCGGTAAAATGAGGACCCGGATTATTGGGGAGCAATATGCTGACTCTGTAAACCACTTAGAGAGGGCTGTAAAGCAGTATATAAGTCTAAGTGCTATTGCTATATGATAGGATCAGCAAGTTAAGTGTATATTATGGGACATGCTGATATGTGCAGAATGAAGAGAAAGCCGCTATCCAGGGCAGAAAGCAGTCATTGCATTAACATTACTAAAGTTATTTAAGACAGATAGAAGGACACAAGAGACCAATAATCTATTATTGTTGCATAGTTAAACTGTCATTTTTTTTTCTCATAAATTCATTTGGTGTATTTTGAAAGAGCATGAATCCTCTGCTGGATAGAAGATTGATTTAAATTGAGACAAACCTTTTCAGGAATGTGCAGTTAGTTCTTTCACCAATATGTTCATTAGAAGTTTATTTGCTGTTTCCTCTGACAAAGTATTTCTTCTGACATGTGTATGTATTTATTTATTAATCATGGAAGGTGACTCTGGGTGGCATACAGCAATCCAATGAAACATTATATATAAAACAATATATAACAATCACTAAAAAAGCATTAAAACTACAAAAGCAAAACAGGAAAAGAAAATAATAGATAGTAAGATATTAATAATAGTGGAGTCACCTCATGAGGGTATCTTTCCTCCTGAATTGTCAGGCCTGCTGCCATTGGCAAGTCTTAAGGCACTTCTCAAAACTTGGGAGTAATGAGACTGACCTCATCTCTGAGGTGAGAAGAAACCACAATGAGGGTGCCACAACAAAAAAGCCCCACAGCTTAAGACCCACCAAATGTAGTTCTCTAGATAATGGAACTCATAATTAATATTAAGATTAAAACCTTTATTGTCATTTTTTACTGTGAGCACACTGGCACCAGTCAAAAATGAAATTCTGTTGCCTGCTCTCAAAAGAAAGTATATATCTACCATATACATACATAACATACATATACACATGCTCTATAGATAGATAGATAGATAGATAGATAGATAGATAGATAGATAGATAGATAGATAGATAGATAGATAGAGATAGATAGATATAGATAGAAATATATAGATATGTAGATGATATAGATTTATAGATGATATATAGATATAACCACTGTCCATTTTGAATACATAGAGGAAAGAGGAAACTTGAGTTCACAAGGTTGATACAATATGGAACAAAATTGTGACTGGATATAGATGTTCTGCTTTGAAGACCATGAAGCCTCCTCCCAGAAGGTAACAAGAAAAACAAGTCATGAAGAGGATGTGTAGCATCCCAGACAATACTGCGTACCCTGCTCAAGCATCGCTTATATGCTATGTCCTGGATAGAAGGAAGTGAACTACCAATAATCTTTTCTGCCATCCTCACCACTCTCTACACCGCTTTCCTATCACAAGCAATAATGTTTCCAAACTAGCCAGTAATGCAATCTGACAGGATGCTCTCAATCATTCCTCTCTATAGAAAGTGGTAAGGACACAGGAAGGAAGGAAAGTGTACATTTCTCATGCAACACAGAAAATGCAGGCACTGCTGTAATGTACCCATAGTTCTGCTTTTATTATTTCTAAGAACTTATACATAGCATTAGTTATCACCTTGACTAGTCAGTCCTTCTAGAACTTGAATCATGCAACTACACTTCTTGTGCTACTTTGTGCAATACATAATTACTTGTATCACTCTAGGTGTGTATAAACCATTTTGTATATCCTTTTCCTGCCTGCTTTGAGAGCACTAGATGTCAATAAGAATGGTGTAATTCCAAAAGTCTGCTCTAAAACAATGTTCTTCGGGGCTATGTCCTGGCTATTTCTGCTTTTTGCAGGCAACAAGGTTAGAACTGATTTCAGTTGCTCACTGCCAGCATCTCTATCCCCTTGAAACAATGGAGTTAGCTTGGTGTTGATCAACCCATTTCACCCCACACAACTTTTTGGGGCATTTTGTTAGTGAGGAAACTATTCTTGAACTTGTGTCCAGTGCAATTTTAAAAGAGTGTAGTGATTGTGTTCAGAAATAATCCAACTGACAGGTGGGGGAGGATCTGTGTGAAACAGGATAATTGAGATTCATCCAACTTCATCTCGTGTCCCCCATAGAGCCTACAACACATCTGTTGGGCAATTCTTCTAAGGTTTGGTCCAATTGACCCCATATTTTACTCTGTTGAGGAGTGATTACTGGTAGCTTTCTCTCTGGCAGGGATGTTTGGCATGAGTGAAACAAAGCTGGGGCTATCCACTAACCGGTTTCCTTGATTGGTCTAGAACAGCAGTTCCCGACCTATCTAGAACAGCGGTTCCCGACCTATCTAGAACAGCGGTTCCCGACCTATTCTATACTCCGCACCCCTAGAATGCTTCTGATATATTCTTGCACCCCATACAAAAGTTTGAAATAACAGCAACAAATTATGCATATACACTATAATTTTGAAAACCCACGTTTTCGCACTCCCTGGAATATTGTCTTGTATCCCCGGTTGGGAACCCCTGGTCTAGAATAAGGATGAATAATACAATTCACTGGCCTTGTTCCTGTGGCAAAATGTGCCATTGAGGGCAGCACAACTGATACTTATTCAGTTCCAAGACTGGTGCATAGCACTCCAACTTGGCAGTGAAAGAGTCCTTAGACTTTTGATGGTTTGCTAATACTTGACACTGCAAATACATAAAATACAGTAAAAATCTCAGAATCCTGTGTCTCTTTACTGAGTTGGGTGTTTTCAGTGTAATTTTATGTTGCGCATTAGTGCTGGAAGTTGTCTAGAAGATATAGAAAGACAGTATGCTTTAATCTACCATTATAAGATACCTGAAAGATGGATATGAATTGTGATTCAAAATACTGGAGGGAAATTAGATAAAAGTTTGTTCTAACGTTCTTCTGATTTCAAACAGGGAACATAATTCAGTTACTTGAAACTCCATCGTGTAGTATATATTTCTTCTAAATATATCGATATAATCCTATTGATTATCCTTTTACAGATTGCAAGTGACTCTGCTTATCTTTTAGATTGTCCTTGTTTTTTCTTTCCATTTCTATTCCTTCTTGTGATACTTGATAATGGCATCCCAGTTTTGCTCTTCAACAATCCACGGATTTTGTGAATCTCAGATGTGCTTTGGGATATACCTTACTGAGCTAATTTCAATGGGCTAAAAAAGTGGCTCAAAGTCCAATCTATAATAAAGGCTAGATTAGCAATTAGTACGGCCAGATTTGACAACCTGACTCAAGTAGTGATTACCATTTTCAGTTGAAACATCTTAATTATAATTAAAGTCCCTGACATAATCAGGTTCAGAAAGGATTTACTTTCAAAAGTATTATTCCTACTTCTAAGTTACCATTCACATTGCAAATTGGCCATACTAAACTTGTGTACAAGTGTACATCAATCAAATGGTGCATAGAAGAGCAGTATCAAATAACTTCTCCCTGGATCAAAACTTGCTAGGCCTAGAAATGCAATGTGTTCTGGCTAAAGGTACTCAGGATGGGGACAGCAAGAAAACAAAAAGGGAGTGTGGGGGATAGGTAAGTAGGCTGGTTAGTTGGTGGGAAAGCAAGTAGGCTGGTTGGATGGTGACAGGAGTCACTGGTTATAAATGTGATGGAATCAGGGATGGATGGATGGCCCAGTGACATATTCTGGGCTTTAATTCAGAAGTGGCAGCAGGGAGATCAGGTAGTCTGGCTGACACATAGGCAACACGGAAGGTGAGCTGCATCAATCCTCCCCTATTTCCACTGAAGATTCCTCTGCGTTTTTCTCAGGTGAAAGCCAGAACCAAATTGCTGGGTCATAATCTTCACTAAATAATCCTGCCCCAAATCCAAGCATGCATGTTTTGTGCATGGAATCAAACCCATTTTCCAGTTTGTACATACCCTTATTCTAGTTTATTCAATATCCACATGGGTACAATTCTTATTCTCAAACCTACAGTTAAAAAAAACCCTGTCAGGTCTCTGAGATCTGACTGAATTACTTGTATCACTGATACAACTGTTTATTTCATAGCCCAAAATTACAAGAATATGAACGACAAAGATGGCAAAATCATGACAAAAACACACTATCTTTCATGTAAAAAAATCATAACTAATGCCTTATATTATCACGTAATGTACAGGTTATTCTGCCTTTTTAAAAGGTTTCTACAGATATTAGACCAGGGGTGTTAAATTGCCGGCCCTTGGGCTGGTTGAATCATGTGCTGAATGAACCATGGCTAAGTATATAAACTAAACCATAATAACCAACTATTGAACATTTAAGGTAGTAACTTAATGCCTGCAAAAAAGGGAAAAAACAGCGTATACCTACACCAATTCCTTTTGATTAGTAACAAAATTTAAAGATGAGTTTTAACTGCCAACCAACTCATATAGGTTATAGATATAGTTATTATTTCCTCCAGAACATTTTGATGATAGCAACACTGAATCCAAGGGCAGTAAAGGCTAAAATTGCCATTAACTCTAACTCTCCCTTCCACCTTGATACCCATGAGCCTGGAATTTACATACTGCAAGTGCAAGACTGTTGGACATAAATAGGTGATTGAAAAATACTGCTTTAATAAAAAGCCATTTGGAATATTGTGGGTGTTTTGGACTCTGGAAAATCCTGTTGATATCTATCCTGGTTTTTGTTTTTTTGAAGGGAGGATAGATCTAATCAAGCATTCAATAGTTGGCAAAGTGGTTTATGACAGGCAGCATAGGGAAGTAATCAGTGGTGGGATTCAGCTAGTTTGCACCACTTTGGCAGAACCGGTAGCTAATTTTTTGTTGCCCAAGCCCAGAACGGACTTCTGGAAGTGGCATCCACAGAGAACCGGTTGTTCGCATATTTGAATCCCACCACTGGAAGTAATTATATTCAATAAAATATACTGGGATTATACAGCATTTGTCCATAGACAGTCAAATGGAGACTGACAATAGCTAAGAATACATTTAAATCAACCAAGGCTAATACTTAAAGACAATTTTAAATACATAATTTATGTAGTTTTATTTTGGCACTAACTGTTGATTCCAGTGATGGCAAATTCTGGACCTATGAGGCAAGATTCCTAAATTTTAGGAAGATTATATAACTTTACTTTGTCCCCCCCCCCACTCCATAGCACCCCTTTCTTTTGTAATTTTTCTGAGCAGCGTAACCAATGCTCTCTATTAATCTTTCAAATGTTGAAACATATGTAAAGAGAACACAATACTTTTAAGGTAACATAAATGCAAACAAGACAATATGGCATTGAATTTTAACTATTTAGATCTGAAAATAGCAAGCTATTTAGGATTTCAACCTAATTCTTCAGATGCCATGTTTACATTTTGGAAAGAGTGCAATGTTAATATTGCTGTCTGAGGCTTACAATTCATAAAATCATGATTGAAGAATTGTAATGCCGAATGTGCAGCCTTTTTTCCAGATGTATTGAACTTGAATGACCAGAATTTCTGGGAATATTTAAAAAATACATTTTTAGGACAATAGGAAACCACTAATCTTACCAATTTACCTTTTTGACACTTGGCTCTTTCAGTTGTCTTCCCTGGTGTAGAAGACGGCACAAAGAACTCAAAAAATATCAAGCATTTTCACAAGAGTTCTTAGTATTACACGGACCTCAAACAGTATCATGATTCTGACATATGAATCAATGACAAACGTTTGTAATTTACAACTGGGAAATAATGAAACAGGGCTGCCCTCTCCAGAAATTTTACCATACAGGATATATCTAATTAAATGGGACTGAGGGAAAGTCACATATTTCCTGCTTCAGAATCTATTTTCCAAAAATATATAAAAAGTAGCCATTTCAACAAACATTCAAGTATCACAATGTTTATTGATAGATACAAGTATATAAAATCAGGGCATGAACATGTCTTGATAAATTAAGTAGACTTAATTCCAATACTATAATAGGGACCAATTCAGTTTCTCACCATTTTATTTCATACCCACAAAGACCACTTCCAAGGGCATCTATCCACCTCTTCAAACTGATCATTTTTGTGCAAGTAAACCATGTTTCTTTTTAAAAGACTTGTGCACTTGCCCAGGCTCAAGGATATTAAAATCTAGCACATAAAGCCCATTACTAGAGGTAGAAATACAGGCAATATACTATTACGGCAACCACCATCAATTACAGTTAAGGATTCTCTGTAACAACCAAATGGATAATCAAATATTGCAACAACTCAAGTATTACACTGAGCAAAGTGCATTTCTACAGTATTCAGTGTTGCTATTCAGATTTCTAACGAACAGCCTATGGTAACTGGCATCAAAGAAGATCCTTACACAGACTGTTTCTGAACTTATGATGTAATTATTGCATGCTGCTAATACACTGTTATCTAAACATTAAAGATATTCTAAAATATTTTTATGGTAGACTATGATTAAGACATACTACAAAAACCCTTATGCAGAAACAAGTCCTACTGACCCGCTACTGCTTTAAATATTGTGAAAACATTACAGCGGAATGAGTTTTCGCAGTGGTTAGGTCAAATGCAGTTACATCATAGCAACAGTATGTTTGCACAATTTAAGGCTTTGGCTGGTTTAATCAGCATCTTCTTCAGATTCTTCTTCCTCTGCTGTTTCCAGCCAGGTCAACCACTGGTTTACCTACAATTAAACCCAAATACTATTATTAGAATGAGAGAAAAAAAGAAAAAATGTAATTCAAATGTATCTGGGGATTAATTACATATTAAACCACTACATACTAATTTATTAAGATTATAAAAATTACTGTAAACATGAGGCATATTCTCATGGCTCTAATTTTAAACTTTATAGAAATCTGATTTTTACAGTAATATTCTGTTTTCCCTAATGAGTCTACAAGTACAATGCGGTAATTATTTTGCTAAAACCTATGGTTAAAAATACAGTGAGATAATTCACCTGGAACAAAGCTTTGCCTTTCCCTGGAAACTCTTGAGTAATATCTTCTTTCCATGCCAGAAAAGCTTCTTCTTCAATGATTTCCATATCATAGAAATGCACAAAGAAGCGCAGTAACATGCCTGTAAGAAAGAAAATATTTTGCTTTTTTCACTCAGATGATCTTTTAAAGCACCAAGATTTTACAGTAGCCATTTCTTTAGCATCAGTGGCACTAAAATTTACTATTCAGTCATTTCACTTAGTTGCATAAAAAGTGGTTAAACAAACCTGACACCAACTTATATAAGCATCTCTCTAGCTGTATTTAAAGTATCACTCTTTGGCTATATAGGAACATTTGGCTAGAATTCCCTCTCATCTGATGTCATAACAAATGCACATGAAACAGGGAGAGGTAAAAGATTTTATTCTTACCTTTTGGAAAATTGTTGTTGTAGCAGTGCACTTGGAGTGCATACAGGGCACTCACTTGTAGATCAACATGGTCATGAAGGAATTTCTGCATAACTGGCTTAAAGGAAAGAAGCAGCTGTTTTTCTTGCTCCAACTGTTCTTTAGAAGGAGCAGATGAAGAATCTGGTTCATCATTAGGTGGATTTACTTCACTAGAAATATACTGCAAGAAACTAAAAGAATTGGAAGGAATTATTTAACATACTTATCTATGTAAAGCAACAGAAGAGCAAAGATTCTTCTTTGCTTAGCATATATAAAAAACAGGAAATAACCCCAACATTGCTATAATCATTTTATATTATAGTATAGTTAGCTCATGTGTGACATGCAACAAACTGATTTCTGTTGCATTTCTCACCTGGTCATCAAAATATTAACAAATCCCTTATCTACATGTAGTTTTGGTGAAATGTTGTCTTTAATCCATTTATAGCTTGCTTGAGGGGATGGGTCCAACTTAATTTGCTTTAGTAGCTCCTTTTCCAGTTTCAGAAGTGGAAACAAGAAGCTAAGTCCTTTCCCTTCCAATATCTCCAGCATACGATCCTTATTCTGGTCAATCTCTGTAACATATAGATAAAAAACTGTCCCAAATATTCTTTGAGCTTGTCAACTTAATTTACTACATATCCACGCTTTAGCTCACATTTTAAAAACTCTGTAATATTTAACCATATTTTCTAACTAGATGTTTATTATAGTTACCCATCTACTTCCCAACTCCCTCCACGTACTGTACACGTAGTATACTCATGCCTTACCTGGAAGCATCTTTTGCATGTTCACTTTGCTCTGTTGGAAAAGCTCGGTTAGCCATTCTCGATCCTGCAACTTGGCTAACTGCTGAAGGCAAAGTAGGAAGAGGGGAAAATGGGTGCCACTTTCCAATGGTTGTGCTAGTTCAGAGATGCTCACGAGTTCTGAAATTATGGCCCGAGCTGCAAACTGTGCTAGATAGGATTTTACCAGAGGGATGTCCACCTCTAGTTTAGGGCACTGGTCCAATACATTTAGGAATGCCTGAAAAAAGTTTACTAGCATTAATTACATTCTCCCATGTCTGGTTCTAACAACAAACAATACAAACATCAATGTATGCTTAGAATACATGCATTACCTGCATGAAGTTGTCACTAGTAGCTATCCCTTCCTGTTTAAGTAAATTGATCAATGCACTTGCTTTTTCTTTATCTTCATCTGATCGATCTAGTGACTGAAGTATTATTTTGCTCAGCATCTCAGAAAGAAAATGTTTTGGTGCCCTCATTTCTCTCACACTGTTGACAGCATCATTGGCATTTCCATTGTTCAAATATTCAGTCACAACAGTTTCCTAAAAAAAAAAAAAAAAAAAAAGAGGAAAAGTTTTTTGTTTTGTTTTCCTTAATTCTTTAGTTATCACATGCTACAATTTGAGAGGAGACTAAATGAACTTACTGTTAACTTGAGCAGCTCTTCCTTAGAAGGTGGTGGCTTTTTACTTGTCTTTGCAGGCTTCTCCTGAATAAGTGGCGGATTTGTTTTGAGACCAAGTTGAGGTGGCTTAAAAAACAAAACACGAGAATTTAGGTGTATTTATTCACAGTACTGCATGAATCTTAAAATATCTGCTAGCTTAAAACTGCAATATTAAGCATCTTTTTAACCAAGCCTTAATTAGTAGAGCTCCACGGCACTTTGGCAAACTGACAATAATCGTATTTGGAATAGCCTCACAAAGGCTTTCACTTTCATGATCACCCTTAAGCATATATATTTTGAAAAGACACTTTTACTTAATTGTCCCAATCAAATCTCACTGTTTACCTGGATTTACTCCCAAACAAGCAAATATTGTGGAATTCCAGGATCTTGCTAAGCATTTGTTCTTCTGAACTCTTAAATAGAAGAAAATGACTTACTGGAGACATGTGCTGCTATGCTCTGAAGTGCCTCTGTAGGACACAATATTCTCAGATATGCAGCCACCACAATAGAAATTAGGGTATAGGTTTAATTGTTCCCTCCCCGTTATTTTAATACTTTAAAAATGGATATGCTTTCTAGCATGCAATCTGTATAATGAACATAATCAAGAAAACTTTGATTAAGCCATTAGAGAAACATTTACCTGTCCCAGAGGTGGTGTCTGAGTACGTTGTGGCTGTGCACTGGGAGGAATCATAGTTATCTGGGGCTGAAGCTTTGGCACTTGGTTTTTGTTTACTACAAAACACTGAGCAGGTCTGAGACTAATCTGTGAAAAGAAGCTGGCTATTAGAAATCTGGAGTATGGTTCTATTATGGTAGCAGTGAAAACTACACGTAGCAGAGTTGCCCGTTATTTACAAGCACTGCTAAGTTATAGCAGCAATGTTTTTGAGGAAACAATTTGTTGCAAGTAATAATAATAATGATAAGGTTGGAAGGGACCTTGTAGGTCATCTAGTCCATCCCCCTGCTCAGGCAGGAAACCCTATACCATTTCAGACAAATGGCTGTCCAGTTTCTTCTTAAAAACTTCCAGTGTTGGAGCATTCACCGCTTCTGGAGGCAGGTTGTTCCACTGGTTAACTGTTCTAACTGTCAGGAAGTTTCTCCTTAGTTCTAGGTTGCTTCTCCCTTTGGTTAGTTTCCACCAGTTGCTTCTTGTCCTGCCTTCAGGCACCTTGGAAAATAGCTTGACTCCCTCTTCTTTGTGGCTTAATGGCTTTTTATATCTCCATCTAGCAACTGAAATTACTTCAACAGCTCTTGTTTATGATTAAGACGCCCTCATATCTCATAATCTTGCTCATAGGACACTGGAAACTCCAAGAAGGATGGGGGGCAGAGAGGAAGAGAAGTGAAACTCCAAGAGGGTGGAGGGAAGAAAAAGCAAGAACGTAAAAAGATAGATAACCTGGAGAGAAAAAAGTGAACAGAAGGAAGATAGAAGAGGAGTTCCAGTGTTGATCCTCGTAATAACGCGTCTTGTTATAATCATTGGGCATCTTTTAAAAACTGTATCTATTCTTTTTCAAGGGCATACCTCATCTGCATTAAGCTGTCCCTTCTTAGAAAACCGTGGAGGCATATCCTTAGACTGTCCTTGTTGAGACAGAAGTCCCTGATTTTGATTATGGTATAGTTGGCTTTGTCCCTGTTTTCAAGACAATGAAAGGAAAATAAAGACTATAAGAGCGTATACCTTTGCTTGTTATCATAAAAATATTTTTTCATATATTCTATGTGTACTGCATGTTTACTTTGTTAAGACTTCTATGATGATGAAAATACTATTGCTACCTTACCTTTCCATCAGGAGTTCTAATTTCCAATTTACCTGTGAGGTAGATTGGATTTAAAAAACTGGCCCCAAGTTGTCCCCCGATCTTCATTCGCTAAGAGTGAATCTAGGTCACTAGTTATAAGCTAGCATTTTAAACATCTGAACTGTTATAGACTGGTTATTTTATAACAAGCTGAGTTTGGGTTTATCTAATCAAAAGGCAAAGTATTAATTCTCAGTTTATGACACAATCCCAACAATTACATCAGTGCTTTTCAAACCTGAATAAATTATTCCAAAGTGGGTAAAAGTAATTTTTCTTTTCTCACAAACCCATTACCCACCATAACAGGGACATTTAAATTGACTTAAAGATTGTCACATGTACTAAAATATATTTTAAATTCTCCCCATTTGTCTTAAGACAAAAATTGATGAAATCACCAACAATTGTTGAAATGACAAAGATAATTTAATATTGTTTTTGCAATACAGGTAGTCCTCAACTTATGACTATTCTTGCAGTGACCGTTCAAAGTTATGACAGTACTGAAGGAAGGGACTTGGGAGCGGTCCTTTTAAGTTTGATAAAGTCTTTCTTATAAACGATTTGGAGTCATGAAGGAAAATGTTTGGGAACCACTATATTATAGAAGTGTTCATAAAGAAGATGCATCAAGTATAATATTTGGGAGCTACTAATTATGCTTTGGATTTCACATAGATAATGGAAAATAATGGAAATATATTTCCTTTATCTACTCTAAATTTGGGAAACTGAAGAAAATAGTCTAAACAGAAGTGTAGCAAGTGAAGTTGCCTGTGGAAAAAGGCAGAAAAAACCCCTGATCAATTCCACTTCTTTATTCCTGGGTGCTGACGCTGAGGAGACATTTTTTTTAAAAAAACACAAGAATATGGAGACAAAGAGAACTACTTTTGTTACTTACAAGGGGAGTGCTATGTTTTGTTTTTACCTTCTGGAAGATGGCAAGCGTTATATATGCAGCAGATGCAGACATAATGCCTTTTTGGAGAAGCAGCTAGAGGTAGTTAGAGACAAACTGCTGTTGTGAAAAATGTATTGGACAACAAAAAATGCTTGAGGAGGAACAATAGTGGCAAGTCCCAAGAAGAAAAAAGCCAACCAGCCAGAGGGGATCGGAGAGATGAAAGAATGACACAAAAGAACCAAACTTGTAAAAATGAGCTTCGTTTCCTTGGAGCTTCAGAATAGATTCTAAAGACTCTACGCCAGTGGTTCTTAACCTGGGCGATATTGCCCCCCAGGGGGCGATTTCATTTTTCAGGGGGGTGATGGAACGAAAAAGGGTGACGCGGGGGTGAAGGAACGAAAAGGGGGTGATGGAGCGAGAAGTTTTGGGGACACTTGAGACTTTTCCGTACAGTGAATTGTTGTATATCTGTCGTACAAAAACATCAGATCGCTCGCTATTAGTGGATTGAATTGTGTTTTCAAATGTTCCTCCAGCTAGCTTCAGTACAGAATGCCGTACATATGTGAATATGCATTAGCTTCGTTTTCGAATTTTTTTCTGCTCTGTAAAACATTTTGTGTGTCTCTTTGTATTGTACTTTTTTAGCGTGCACTCCAGTTCGGTATTATATTTTCTTTTTGTCTTTTTAATCCTTTTTACAGTGTGCGTGATTATATATACTTTCCTCGACTATATATACTTTCCTCGAATCTTAATTTAGTTTCAGAGTTTTCGAAATTCTTAGTTCCTGCATTGCGGTTTGTTCTTGTGCCCTTTTTGTATTTCTTTTTGAGTCTTAAATTTCACTTGTAATTCAATCATTAAATGTTACTATTTTTCTTTTCGGGCATTTCACTTTCTTGCAATTGAATTTTGTTTTCAGTGGTCATTACATTTAAGTGTCTTGAACAAATAAGATAATGAAATACATGTATCACGAAGTTTGGGAATAAAGTGATGGGTAGCATCAAATTTTTTCACACAGTTGAGATAAAGACTGGAAATAAATTATTTGCATCGATATGTCCTGCTGATAATTTTAAAGAAAACAAAAAAAAGTGTTTGCATAAATTGAAGAATTATTTCCTATGAGAGGTTATGCTGAGGGAGGGGGCGATGACAACTTCCTCATTGGCTCAAGGGGGCGATTCGTTGAAAAAGGTTAAGAACCACTGCTCTACGCTGATGTTGTTTCTGGACTTCTGGATGAACTGCAGCTGCCACAGGGGCCAAAGATGGCTACACAAGTTCTGTAAAGGGGACAATTCCTGTCTCTGCCTTGAAGCAACAGCAAAAGGAGATGCTTATTTGAGACTTCCTACTGAGGCACCAAAGCAGCAATCAGCAATGAGCTAGCAGTCTTATCAAGAGAAAGGTGCTGCCTTTCACAGGTTCACATTTGGGATGTAACAGAAAACATCCCAGGACTCTTTAAGCTGACTAAATAGTCCTTTTTAGTGATTCTGGCGGGAATGGTAGTGTTGAAAACATTGCAAGATTATAAAGGACTGTGCTGTTAGTTTTTTTTTTTTTAAACCAAAACCCTCCTTCCGTGTTGAAGGCTATGAACCCCGAAGCAAAACAAACTTAAGTTTACAAGGGAAGTTAAAAGTAACTTAAAAGTTAGTTTTTTTCAGTTGTATCAGAGCAAGAAAGCCATAAAGGACAACTTAGTGTGTCCAGGAACACACTGATTACATTCAAGAGCCTTGAAAAAACTTGGCTATCAAGAATGGTTATAACTGCCGAAGGAATATTAGGGCAAGTGTGGGAAGATGACCCATATGACCTATAAGCTTGTTGCTGATATTGGGCAAACTCCAGAAATGACTGTTAATCATTTAGAAGAGTATATAGTTGGCAAAAATGACTGTTAATCATTTAGAAAAGAATATATTGCATGTCTTTATGAAAGAACAAATCATGCCAAAGCAATCTGATCTCTTCTATTGTTTACTACAGAGATATAGTAAACATAATTCCAAACTATTTAATCAAGTTTCTTACTAGATCCTTGAAAAGATGACAAAATGTAGGCTGTCTGTGTTACTGTTACAAGGATACAAGCTTAGCTAAACATACACAAACAGGCTCTGTATTGTTCAACACTGATGGCTTATAAAATGAGCTAAAAACAAAAGATTATCAAGTTTTTGGTAATAACAAGATAAATACTTAAGAGGACAGTATCAGGATTCAAGAGGACCTGACAAGCTAGAACAATGAACAGAAACTAACAAGATGAGTTTCAAACATAAACCGTGTTTGCACCATATACGTGAATAAACTGGTAAACTGCAAAAAGATTATGAGCTAATAGCATAATGCAGCTACAAGAAAAACACTTTTAATTTGCATTAGTGATAGTACAGCTTAAAGATCAAGGGAATTATTTCATTCTACTCTATTAGTTAGACCACAACTAAATTCCAGCATCTTTTCTTGACACTATTAATATCCTTCCAAAAATACAAACTTGAATAGTTTAGAAGGAGAATAACTGAGATGGTTAAGAGCCGGAAGAAAAAGCTTATATGGAATAGTTGGATGTGCTGAGTATCTTTAATCTGGAAAACACTAGGAAGAGACATGTCTTCAGGGTTTTGAAAGCTGGTCTGTGTGAATACAACAGAATTTAGTGATGTTCCAAAACACAGGACAAGGAAGAGTGATTATTGTTATTATTAGTAGAGTGTTGATTGAGAATCCCAGATGTGGGGGCGGTGGGAGGGGAAGGGATACATTTTTTACTGCTTCTATTTCATTGTTGTTGATGCAAGTCATTCAGAATTATGCAATGAATGATGACCATGTACATTTCCTATATTTAAAAAGCAGAATTTCTCTTCTATCAGTCACTTACTGGACTTTTCAAGAAGGATTTGCCTAGCTCTCCAAAGTGGGATTGAACAGGAGCCATGAGGTGTCCCCCATGGCCATTGAAAAGTTGATTTGACCGATGTCGCCCCATGGTAGGTGAAAATCTGTCTTGAATAACTCCCGGACCAGTACCAATTCCACTACCTGAATTCATAAAACAAACAAAAGTCAAGAAGATTATAACTCAGGATATCTTTATCAATGTATTTAAAAAAAGTTAAAAAACACAGTGTCATTTCTTCACTGAATAGTAATTACCAGGCATTTGTCCAAACATATCAGCAAGCCCACCAAGTGGATCCCTGTCAAGTTTCATCCTGGGTGACATAAACGATCCCTCCAGAAAGAAGTCACTTCTCATTCCTTGAGACAAAGGAGGAGGAATAAAAACTCCCAGATCCTTAAAAAGAAAGTCAGTTGGAAATCGAATTAAAAGCACATCTCTTAGCACACTTTATTCAGCCACACAGCTAAACCCGTATCTTGTGAAATACTTACTTTCACAGCATCTTGACGGATTTGATTGATAGTCTTTGGTCCATTGTCAAGAAAAGCTTTACGAGGAATCCAATTGTGTTCTCTCAACTCCACAGTATCCTTCAAGGATTAAACAGAAGAATATTAGCTTCAAGGAGTATGCTAGATTTGTCAAGGTGAGCAATTTTATTACTCTTACCTGCAGCAGGAAACGAATCCTTGCCGGCAATTCCTTACACATCATCAAGGAGCGCATACGGGCAAAGTACTGATCCATTAAGGACTGTTAAGAAATTCATTAAATTTGGCATTAAATTTGGCAAATTATCAAAAAGAATAAACATATTATTATGTACGAGTCATTTTATTTGCTAATTAAAAACTGTTAAAAACTACAATATTTTATCTACAATAGTCTATCCCAGGAAGATGAATATTAATAGCATAAATACAGAAATATATATTTATGCAATTTTACTGGTGCTTACCTTGGCTTTTGCATGGTCTAGTCTAGGTCCTACTGTCCTCATTATCTGACAGAGGCACTCCAAATCCTCCCCCATATCCTTGAGTTGGACTCTCTTCTTCTTTTCCAAAAGCTGGGTAATTTGAAACAATACAATTAAAAAAATATTTTTACTGCCATTTTACAACTTACTTTTATAAGCCGCATATCAATAACATGAGTGTTCAAGAATATTTAATCATACATCCAAGTTGCAAAACAAATGCTGCTCTCACCTAAGATGCCATGTCCAAACAAGCTACACAATTCCATTTCAACCTAGTGTTTTATGCAAATTCAACATTAGATTCCATCTATAAGAATTTCGTAAGAAATCCAACCACATGAAAATACAAATAAAGTAAGGGTAAGGACCCTTTAGTTGTGGTCAGAGCTTTACATTGGTAATAACATGACCCAGAATTTTCTATAACTTATCCAGAGTTCTCAAGCAGTTCTAACAGGTTTTCCTTAAGGTGCTAGCCAATGTGTAAAAAAATAAAAACTTTTATTTTAGGAAATTTATTACTAACAGTGTTTACCCACCATGTAGTCACCAGTAGGTACTACTTAATTTTTTTCAAAGTACATTACTAGCTATCTCACCAATGATGTTTACATAGTAAAGATTAAAAAAAACACCACTTACTGTTTTGATGCACTTATGAAGGATAGATTCATGAATAAGATCAAGTTTGCCAAGTTCTCCAATGAATTTGATGTTTCCCAGCATCTTGATCTTAGCAATAGCTCTCTGTTCCTCCTCCTCTGGGAGGAGGGGGCCATCTTGCTTATCATAGACTAAAAATAGAGGTAAGTTTTAGACACTGTTTTATGACCAAAAAAGACAAGCAAATCAAGGAATACAATATTTTGAAAACTTACTATCAACATTTCTGGTTCTGTTTTCAAATTCATCTTGAAGTTTAGAAATTAAGAGGCGTCTGAATGTCTAGGATTTAGAATGCAAACATTTAATGTCTTATCTTGTTAAAATACCAATTCTCATAATAAACCTTAATCCAAAAGAAAATTATACTCAACTGTGCTTTGCTTCTGTCCTGAATGACTCTCTGTGGATGGGCCATCAAAGTTGGGTGCATCTTCTGCCAGTCGCAGACATAGTTGAGCATATAGCGAGCTATACTTTGGCTCTTCAAGGGCTTTGTCTACGATCTGAGAGCAGAGACTTTATAAATTATATGGAAATTGTCTAATATTTAAAAGCTGCACTTTTAAATGATCCCAGGTAATCCTATCTAGTTTTATTGGGAGTTTCAGAAATTCACAATGACAACTATGCAGTACAAAAAACTATAGTGTAGTTAAGATTCCCTACCTTGCTCTTCCTCTAAACAATTAAGTAATGGGACAATTTCACTAATCTACCAGGTATCAATGTCCAATAAACAAAAGGTAATGTATTTTAATGGACACAATAGTGGAAAGTAAGCTGCATCTCCATGCTTGATTTCTACTCCTGCAGTCTGATTGATGGTTATCTGAACAATCATGACACCTGAAACACACCAGCTCAGAGTTTTCCCTCAGGCCATATCAGCCATATTATTTGCTGAGAGACAGTAATCCCTTGCACTTAGTTTCTACCTTTACTAATAAGATAGGAAAAAGCTCAACTGATTTATGTAACCTTATAAACATACATAGGAAACAGTGCCACTAGATAGTGGATCATTTGAAAATAATTCGTTCTCTAAGCTGATCTGTTCTGTAACATAATTCCTATAATAGCCATGTTCACAGTACACTAAACAACCTGCAAGATACCTGCGGTACATTATATGTTTTATTAAAACAGTATTTTTTTCTGTTCATGTTATCTTACCAGCAGTATGATCCCCTTTAGGATGAGCTTAGACTCTACACCCACATTGAGGAGCTCAAGGCATAGTTTGTCAAACTTTTCAGGAGTAAGCTTATTTAGTATGCTAAAGGAAAGAAAACAAATCTTCTTAGTCAAGATTTGACTTGTTTACTGTTTAACTTATAAAACCTTTTGCTAGTGTTAATCTTAAACTGCACACGGTTTTAATTTTAATCTGTTGGAAATTCTTATACCAAATTGGTAATTGTATAACTGGTTACTCAAAATCAATCTATATTATAGATCAGATACTTTGAAAGCCCTGATTGTAAGTACTAGTTTCGCAATAAATAAAGCAACACATTAGATACAGGCTAAGTGAGACCCAAAAAACAGGAAAGCTAAGAAACAAGGATACTGAAATAAAAATGTTAAACTAAAGGAAAACAATGGAACCTGAGATGAGAAGTGGAGAACTCAAGGGGGATGGAGGAGATAAAGCAAGGTATTAAGATAGGAAATGTCCAATATGAGCAGCCTTCTAATAAAACCAAGACATTAAGAGCTGAATTACAGGTACTACAAAGGGGGGAAAATGGATGGAGAACAAGAGATAAGAGTGACTGAATAGTGTGAGATAAAACAGGTAATGCCATAACAATCAGGACTCTGAATAAACAATGGGTGTGAAATACAAAGTGAAAAGCAAGAGAATGCAGGACAAAGTAAAAATGAAAAGCCTTGACCCTAGATTCAAAGCAGTCAGGAAACACACAAGCAAATGTTATTGAATGTGGACATTGGTGTCAAGAGTCCAGTGGATCTATCAGAACAAACAGTGATGAATTCTGAGAACTATAATTCAACTTTTAGTGAAATAGTAATTCCTTCCTCTTGGCCTAGATATGCTAATTCAACATAAAAACAATCCGCCAAAGGAACAGAACACAGCAGAAGTTTTTTTTTTTTTTTGCTTCTGCCTGGAATAACTAGTTTAAGAACTGCCATTAAGCGTTTTTAAGATCACACAAACAACTCAATGTAGGCTGAACTAGTTACTAGTTTAATGGACCAGATCTAAGCCAAAAATCACCTCCTCCTCACATTATTTATTAACCCTTTCATTTTATCTCCATGTTTTTAGATAGACAGGGCGATTGGCTCAAAGTCACCACTATGTTTCCGTGGCTAAGAGGATTTGAACCGGTGTCCTTCATATCCTACCCACCTTGTCTCTATACTCTTCAGGCTCCTTAGAGTCTACATTCAGAGAACTGAAAAACACCTTTAGAAAACTGTGGCTTTGCAACAAGGAAAATCTCAATTGGAAATAAATGGCTGGGAAAACAACTATGCACTCTGTGTCTTAGATGTGAATCGATCAGTCAGTTATTGGATTATAAAATTCCACTGACAAATTGTTTCATCAAAACTTACCCTCTTACTTTCCTGAAGATTGCATCATGTCGTTCTTTGTCATTTGCGGAGTCGTCATCTCGTCTAGTGCTTCGTGAAGGAATCCATTTCTGAGCGTTTTGCCCTGGGGTTTTCCCCAGGAACTCGCTTTTAGAAATAGAACATTAATTCATTAAAACCTATAGCATATTCCCATATAATCTGGAAATACTCAGTTTTAAACTTGTTTTCAAATCGGAACACTCAAGAAACCCTGAAATTTCAGTACTATAACCTGAATTATTTTATAGCCATTATTTAATCCCTTTTGAACTCATTTTTGGAGCTTTGAACATTTGAAAAATTCTCTTACAGCAGTTATTATAGCTGAAAATTCTCATCAGAAGACCCAAACCATGTCAAACATAACAAAATAAAAAATAGTTAAGGAATTAAAGGAACTAAAACACTGCAAGCTTCGAGCATTCCATTTATGGAATGACCATTTCATGTATTAAGGTGTTCTTGCATTTCGTCCTAAATTTGAAACAAAATGGACTAGTTAAATTCTTATTTTGAGTATTCAAATATTCCACAATTTGCATTTCTAGTCCTCTAAAATTAATTATGGGGAATTTGGGTCCAGAGATTCCATCTCTGCTTTCACTGGTTGGGTCAAGTCACAGAGGTTGGGGAAGATAGTTAATTACATGTTCAAAGATTTATGGATTTCAACTTTGTGGAAAACAGAAGTAGACTTGCAGAATTGATATTAACTAATCCACATTAAGAGCTGAATTACAGGCACCACTGCCTGTATAAGCAATCTTCTACCCCATGGCTCAAACTAAAAAAAAAAATCACGTGATGGTAAGTTCTTTAGAATAGGTGACATCCTATAATCTATCTCAAATGCTGATTTGCTAGAATGGCTGGTCTTCCTCAAGGCTAACCTGCTTCTGCTTAATTTTCTTGATCTGTCCGAATTTTCTTTTCTCACTCTATAGTCAACCAGCAGTTGTCTCAACATTCAGAGTCATCTGACTCGCTAGATAGGATGCTCTGGCTCTCAGATCATGTATGTCTGCATCAGAAATTACATTAGACAAATGACTGCTGCATTCCTGGAGTTTAAGATGGTAAGTAAGATTCAGAATGGATTACAGCCACTTATACTTGCAGTCCTGAGACAGAAACAAGGAAGCTTTTTGAATTGCAAATGTTCCCTATTGTGGAATACTCAAAATACTTTGGATTTCATTCTATTGGGATATTCTACATGCTTTCATGCATGTCCCATTAGAGATAAACAAGTATCAGACAAAAACCTAAATATACTAAGACATGAAGTAGTTAACAGAACACTGATTGGTTTCATACAGACTTTCAGTTTACATTTACTTACAATGGAATTTAATTTTACAAATTAAAGAATCCATACAATAGCCAATATAGCAGTGCAATTAGCATGCAATGTACCTGTTGCCGGCAGTCTTGGGATAGTGCTGAAGCGCACCCCTACCTCCTCCTCCGCCTGAAGAAGCACTATAAATAAAGAATAACTGCTAAAGAATTTTTGTTTTGTATGCAGGAAACCAAAATTGTGTAGTTTAACCAGAACTATTTTATAAACAACTTAATGATTTGTGAACAGAAGCTTCCTTGGATAAAAAAAACATTTTTCCCCTTCTGCACATGTTAGTATTTTCTTGTAACCTGATCATTTGTCTGAATCAACTAATATCCTTTATATGAAGCTAAAGTCAGTACTTTAGTAAACGAAGTACTTATCCTATTCTTAAATTCTCAATGAAGGACACAACAAATATACAGAATATACTTATTTGTTGCCTTTTAATATATGGTCTATAAAACTTAGAAAGTGTGTTAGTGGAATTCATGTGGTAAGCCATATATTTAATTTCATTGGTTGTGACTAACTGCAAAAGCAAACAAACAAACCAACTTAAAAGGCTAAGAAATTTTTCTTTATAGACAAAAATACTTTTGTGTTTCTATCTGTTTCATTGTCAAAAAGCTTTACTTACCTGAAACGAGAAGCACCCCCTTCTGCAATCGCACTCTCCACTTTGGCGGCTTGGCAATGAAGAATCTTCAAAAGAATAATAAATTGACAGGACAGGGAAAAACAAAACCTAAAAGGCAAGAGTTCACAATGTAAGTTTTTGTTTAAGATTCGAATAATAGCACTCCCCCAGATTTAAACAAAAATAGTTTCCCAAAGATTTTGGTATTCAGAGTCTAAATAATTATCATTTCCTAGAATCTTCTACAGTTTGCCATCCAGAATTTCTGAGAAATTTACTTGGCATTGCAGCCTAAGTTTTTTCCTCATCTGCATCTCCTGAATCAACCCTGCCTCCTGCTGATTCCACAAACATACATCCATGAAAGTCTTACATATTATATACATTTTAAATATTTCACAACAAATGCTGTGTATAAGCAAAATCTAAACCATCTACTATCCATATTAAAGAACCCACAGTATAATATTTTACTGCCCAACATGACATGTGCTTATAAATCTGATAAATATTGGTAACCTGACAAATTCCACCCAACATTGGTAATTTTCAATACCCGAATATATGTCAGGATTCCTGACAGGGAAGAAAGCGGAAGCAACACACAAACACACTTTTCCAGGAAGGATCCTATTGTGTCCAACTTAAATTGCAGCTCTATCTACTTAACGACTTCAAGTAAACCAAAACACAAGACTTCCAATCCCAGGGCCGCCACATCTGCAATCTCCACTGTTTTTATTCTTCCCGCCACTTAACTAGCCTTAAAAATACGCCTGTAAAGCGGGGAAGATGGCGTGGCGCAGCCCAACTAAAGACCCAGAAAACCCCTCCGTTTAATCCCGCAGATCTTCGAACAAGCTGTAGCCTGTTTCAAGCATCCTCCCCAGGTCATCCTCGACCCCTTCCTACCCCGCGCTGGGCACCGCCCGACTCCAGACTCAGGCGCAACCCCGGCGCTAGGCCCGACCTTTGTTCTCGGTTTACTGCCCCATCTGCAGTTGCCGGCTATTCAGCAACAGAAACGGAGATGGGGCATAGTTTCAACTTTTCCGGAGCGAGGGAGAGCGGTGGAACCGAAACTGAAAGAACTATCCCACTAAGAGACTAAATACACTTCTTTCTTCCCCATGGAATAATAGTAACCATGGGCGAAAAATAGTATATTCTCTATTCGTGGAGCAACGCGAGGGCTCAAAGGCAGCATAAGAATCGGACTACCCTGGCACCGGACTTGATTGTGCCAGTCACAATCTTCAATAAAAATCGGCCGCCTCTTTCTCCCCTCAGATACCGGTTGGGAGAAGACCGGTGCCGGCCGCCATTTTGTTGCTCGGCGAACGTGCAGGACCGAGAACAAGATGGCGGTGGTTTTAGGTAGCCGCCATTTTGCATACCAGCAGCCGATTTTTCCTTAGCCGCCTTCGCTCGCCCCCCGCCTCAAATACTCCCCAAGCCCAAGTAGTACCAGCCCCATCGCTTTTCCCCCGATTATCATCTTAGCCAACGACGGTTAATTCCTCACCTTCCCTACAGCCTCGTCAGCGTCCCCAGGACCGGCGGCGAGGGCTGGGAAGAGGCGAGAGAAGGGAGGGGGAGAGGGAGCCGGGGATCGGGGCTGGGAGAGGGAAGGGGGAGAGAACGAACGGCAGGACGGATCCCTGAATCACCACAGAAGCCACCAAGCACTTCTCTCCGTCACCTCCATAGAAATCAGACCAACTCTCCACCGCTTCTAAGGCGCACTGAGACAGTCCCACTAACTTTATTACACAGCGTGCAGCTAAGCCCTCCTCAACAAACCGGCTTCCAATCGCCGGCTGAGACTTTGTCGGAATAGCCAATCACAACGAATAAAGGAGGTGGGTCCAGGGGAAAGGAGGGGGAGGAAGAGAGGTTGGTTGACGGGAAGCAGCGCCGCAGTGCAGCATCGGATTCACAAAGACTAGCACTCCTTTCTCCTGCGTAGAAAACCAACTCGAGTGATAGATTGCGCAAATGGCGTACCGGGTTAATTGGGACAGGCTGTACGCCGCTTTTTTCCCAGCGCCGTATTGCCTCCAGTGACAGAAGCTGGAAGGCAGTTCTCTTTGAATTTCTTTGGGTCGCTTTCAATAGCGTGTTCTTTTCGCAATGGCACACAGATGGGCCTCATATAGGTCCCGGCGAAACCATTTGGTGGGCTTTTGTCCTGATAAAAATGGTATGCTTAGAAGACGTGAGGTTAGAAAGCAGCAGAGGGCGTGTAGACGAAGCTCTAGTTTAGAAGAGGTACCCGAAAAAAATCACGACACTGATTCCAAGAAGGGATGAACAGAGCTGGGCATTGTTAAGGAAGTGCCGTGATTGTGCTCTTTCTGATATGAAAACTTACCGAGCACGTTTCCTTTCCTCCCCTCAGTTCCTCGTCCGCTCCAAATCGATTTTTATCGGGCTGGAAAACGATGTTCTAATCTAGAAAAACGGCTCAAGGTTTTTTTACCTCTTGGCTCTGACCGCAAGTGAACTGAATAATGCATGATCTTTTAAAATAATTTCAGCAAGACTCAGCACCTCTATCTGGGCTCACAATCAAAGTGCTGAAAATCCTACAAGGCATAATGTTGCTTGCTACATACCCATCTTTTACATGATGTAAGCATTTGCCCCGAAAACACATCCCACAATGGTTTTTTGAACACATTTTGAACGCTTAAACCAAAGTATCTGGTTTACTGTATCAAATGAGTACATAGTTCATGATTTCTTGACTGAAAAATAATAATTTTACTTAAAGACTTTTTATTTTAAAGAATGGTGGTATGATAATCCAGCTCATACCACTAACAGCAGTTTCACAATCATTCATTCCAAACCATACTTGTGCAATAGTTAATGACTTCCCACCTCCCATGACTCCAGAAGACACAAATTTAACAAATAAATCTTAGTTATGAAATTAAATATGTGCTTGTCACAATCCAATATAAATTTTGGAAAACAATACATAATGTTATGCTGTATATTACTATGATCAGGCAAGATATGAAGATAACCTTTCATGGTTAATGCCTCCTGTCTAATAATCATATCTTACTATGTAGGATCTGAAGAAGAAAAAGGGGAACTAGTAAAGGAGATACAACTGAAAAGACAGTAGTTAGCTAGTAGTAAAAATGTGGAAGGAGTCTCACTGTATATAGTTTACTTCTAGAGCAGGGGACACCAATATCCGGGCTGTGGCCCACTACTTGGCCATGGTCTATTTGGAACCGGGCTATATGAGCGGTGGCCTAGTGCATACATGCATGCTTGTGCAGCTCAATTTGCACAAGTTGAATTGTGTGTGTGTGCACATGTGTTGGCCCACCACTCACGCAGTCCGGTTTTCCCCCAAGCTGGGCTGCCAAGCCAAGCCACGAAGTTTGGGGACCCATGTTCTAAAGAATCTAAACATCCTTCATTGGATGTTTTCCTATTTCCATGCACTCAAAATTATCATGGCCTTCCAATTCTATTTCTTTACAATAAAATATAGATTATGTCTAAAATATCCTATCACTTAAGGAATATGGACATACTGAGTACAATATTTCAAATTCTGTTATCTACTACCTTCATATTTCTTTAGAGAAAAGACATTCCTCCCAGAGGCCGTATGCATTTTATACAACGATACTGTACACACATATAGAGAGGATACAGTTTATTGTGTCATGACCTGAACCATCATCTAATTCTTTAGTCTGAATTTCAGGATATGTACTAAACTGAGATACCGTTTTGTTAAATTGTGGCTCACTTGAAATAGTTTTACATATGACTCAGCACTGATAAGTGACTACCCACACATTTTCTTTTACACAATCTAACTTTATTTGCTTGCTTTACCAGATTCAACCTCATTTCATATAAATATACTGTACATAAGTGAAACACTTATCTTAAAATAATAAAAAACTATAACCTAGCCACATTTTGACTCCAGCCAAGGCTTTAGATGTGACACAAATACTAACTTGTGGCACTGACTCTTTGGCCCAATTAAAAAATGGAGGATTTGAAGTGCTGACAACTATCAGTAGACTGATAAAGCTGTACTCAGACAATCAAAACTGCCAATGTTCATTAGCAAGGTTCTCCAGAGTGGTCAATACTGACTCCCAAAGATCAGTGGAACTATCTAAGACAGTGGTTCTTAACCTTTTTAATGCCGCGACCCCCAACTGGTCGTAAGTCAAGGACTACTCAACCAGTTGTAAGTCGAGGACTACTCAACTGGTGCAGCACCGTTTGCAGAATGTGACTTTTGGCGGGCTCAGCAGGGCAGAGACAGCCTGGACAATTCTATTGGCTTTTGAAAGCCAAGAATTAGACTCTCTATTCAAGAGAGTCTATTCTATTGGCTTCAAAAGCCAATAGAATAAAGGGAGTAGCACAGCTAAGGAAAAGGGGGAAAAATGGCGGACTGCATTGTTTGGCGACCCCCGTGAAATGGTCATTCGACCCCAAATGGGGTCCCGACCCACAGGTTGAGAACCATTGATCTAAGAAGTCAGCGTTGTTGTTATTACTATTCATAGTATTATTAGTTAAAATAACATTTATTAAATTATTTTCATATAATAAATTTTGGGAATCAGTGGGCAATCTAAAATTTCAAGAAGGGGTTGATGAGCTGAAGAGTTTGAGGACCCCTATTCTATCATATGTATTTGAGTGGCATTCCAATTGTGAAATGTAAAATGAATTTTTTTGTGGCATACTTACCAAAATGCTGATCCTTGAATGAAGTAGTTTATGAGACACTGAGGGAAACTGTTTTTCACTTCTCTGTTATTACAGGGAGCAGTTCTATTCCCTATTGAGTAAAATACAAAAATCAAAATTTAAAATAAGTATCTTTAAGTAAAACAATGGTTCAGATAATGGCAATAAATGTCTAGCACTATTGGTTTTACTTTATCTTTGTCAAAAATGTATGTCTGCTTCAACATATTTGCAAATCTACATTTTAAAGGCCAAGTTCCATGTTAATTTTATGTAAGTGTTATCTTGAAACTAATATCTGTACAAGTTTAACTCTAAAACATTTTAAATTTCTGAATGGTGGTCACCATGTTAGAGAAAGAACGTTAAAGCTCCAAAACAGGAGATAATAATGGTTTATCATTGCATACACTATATACAAATGTAAAAATTGTGCTGTAATTATTACAAAATCTAAATACAGTTCTGTGAGACATTAAAAATATTCCAAACATTGTTAGAAAAAAGGAAAGGAACAGAAGCACAATAGGGCTGTCATATAGCCTCTCAGTTTATAAATGGTATCAATATCAGGGGGTTTTGTATGGAACTCCTTCTTGAAACACACTGAATTCCAGCATGACTTCATAGTACTATTAATGCTATAATCCCACATACTTATTTGGGAGGAAGTACCATTGCCCTCAGGGAGGCTTCCTATTGAATAAATAACAAGCTCAGGCTTGCACTGAGCACTACATATGAGGCTTAAGATAATAAAGATAAGATTTTAAAAACCCATTTATGAAAAGGATAGTGTTGAGCGGTATTATGCAAGATAAGACCTTATGAGACAAATCTGTTCATCTATTCCAGTGTTTCTCAACATTTGTGTGACGGCGACCCCGTCACACGGATGCGCCGTGCATGCGTGCCGCGTGCATGCGCAGCGCTGCCCCATGCGCGCTGCGCATGCACGGTGCCACCCCGAGGGGGGAAAATGGCGGATCGCGTTGTTTGGCGACCCCGTAAAATGGTCGTTCGACCCCGAATGGGGTCGCGACCCATAGGTTGAGAACCGCTGATCTATTCTATAAACCAACCACTATTGATCTTTGAACTAGAAATAGATATACTAGGTAAAGGTGAGCTGAGAGAAAACAAAGCAGCACAAGCAATATACAGCAGAAACGGGTCATTCTTTTGGTATGGCACCCCTAATATTATGCTGAGGTTTGCAAATAGAACTCTGAGTAAAATGATCACTGCACTGAAGCAGACCTGTAACATGGTGGGCTTGGTGGGCCTGCAGCTATATATTATTTTATAAATAACTACTGAAATTTTCTTCAAAAAATTAAGTACAGCTAGTCCTCATTTAGCAACTATTCAATTACAGTGATGAAAAAGTAACTTTGTAACCTATCCTCACATTTATGACTTTAGCAGGCTTGTAAAGCAAAGGAAAGCTGAAAGTTGTGATTTCACTTAGCAACTACTGTACTTAAGTTGCTGGTTCCAATTGTGGTCACTAAACAAGGGCTATGTGGGTATGATCTCTTCCTCTCCTTCTTGTTTTTTCTCTTTTCTTCTCTGGTGGCTCACCTAAACTTTTAGTTTACCACAAAGTCAGACCCAAGCCAATACTTGATGGAGTATTAGTAGCCCAAGATATTGTGGTAACCCAATGTATTGTATTACTGTTTCTTGCATAAGACTCATCTAAATTTGTTCTGAATAGGATATAAGTGAATCAGAAAAAGAGAAGATAATCTACAAAGAGGCTAGTTTGAGACTAAGGATAGACAACTAGGAAGGGAGCTCATGTCTACACTTGATAAACTGTGTTTCTCTCTCTCTTTCTCTCTCTCTGGGTGTGTTTCTTTTTAAAGATCCAGTGAAAGACAGGGCATTGGGTTTCTTGAGATATTAGCCATGGAATTCAGTATTACGAAACATTGGCACTCTTCAGTGACTCCTCCAAAGGAAACTGAACTCAGATAAATCCTACAGTACATTTATGAAACTTTGCATAGTTTTGAGAACAATAGGCTTGATCTTTGGTTGGTGTTCCCTTTATTGCAGGGGTCCCCAACCCCCAGTCTGCAGACCGGCACCGGTCTGTGGCATGCCAGAAACCGGCCTGCGCAAATGAACAAAGCCCCATCTGCGCACATGTGGGATGCAGGCATCTCATGAAACCACGCCCCCCCTTCCAGTCTGCAGAAAAACGTCTCTCCATACTTTCTGCTTGGTCCATTGGTCATCACTTCCTGTAGGGTTGAATAACACTGTCCTCCAACTTCTAGACCATTGCTGATGTTTCTCACAGTGCACACCACTGCTCACCAGGCTTGACACAATTGTTGTTTTCTGATTCAATCTATCATAAGCCCTTCAGAATTGAAGGTCTCCCCAGTTTATGTTCTATTTCAGTAGCAGCCCCAACTCCAATTGACCACGGTGCCTGGCAGATTCCCTCCTTTACAGCAGCTGATTGCTGCCCTGGATAGCAACAAAGTCCTGGTCTGCTAGGTGGATATGTCATGTTGTCCGCTGGTTGGAAATTGCTGGATTTTTAAAGATAGCCTTGCCGTGGATCCAACTTGTTTTTCTACCTCTTGCCCGTAGTACTGCAATTTCCCTTCCTTTATTTCACTGAATCACAAGTAGAAACATTGCAACTTTGTTTCTATGTAGCTAAATGAGCAGCTTTACTTTGCTACAAAGTTTCCATGGACCAATAGAGCAAAGTAAAAACAGAGGAACTGTTCTGTTCCTTATAGCTTTTGATTATTGTAGCACTAGAGTCCCAGTAGTGCAGTGCAGAATATAAGTAGAAATATTAACCATCTGCAGAGGTATTAAAGAAAATACTGTAATATGGACTTTGGATGGGATGAAGAGATCCACCCATGTAAATCTGGGAAATCAAAAGTAAGGCATGGGGATTAGTGTGTGTGTGTGTGTGTGTGTGTGTACAATCCCTAAATTAAAAGGACAGGATCTGCTAGACTGCTACACAAAGGAGCTAGTCAGTGAGGTTCATCTTCTCTGCATGGTGGGAGGTCAAGAAGAAAGAGGTCTTGCATTGGCCTTACTCCAGACTGAGCACCAGCCCAGTTTCACAGCCAGCCAGCCCACTGCTATCTAGACTGGAATTTCTAAAATTGGCTTACAGTAAGAAAAAGCAGAGAGCTTTATGGGAGACAAGAAGCTTCGGATACCATGCAGATTGCAGTCCTAAGGTGAAGTTTGAGGCTCTCTCTGAGGAAGATGGATGGTTTAGAAATAGGAAATATAAACAAACATATACATAAATACAAACTTTAGTTAAAAGCTACACTTTTGCAATCTAATTAGCATATTTATTGATCAATTTCAAAAAAGTAACCAGTTTGCTTGGACTTTACCCCAAATATGCTGAAGAACAATCCACTTGAAAGAATGGGAAGTATGTACCCAGTGTCAGTGTAAGCTTTATCTATTTTATATACAAGACAGAAGGTAACATGAGTAATAATGTATGTGCAAGATCCAACACGTCAGGCCCAAATAGTTACATTAACTTAATGGAATGACTCAGCAGGTTATTTAAAACCATTTATATATTTGTCTTTTCAAATATACCGTTTACGAACATTTTTAAAGATTTGAGAAGCAGACCATTACCTCTTATCTTAATAGAATTTAGATACTTCTCAACTATTCTGTACGCACACACCCATCCCCTCCGGACAATTAAGAAAATAGCTAAGCAAAGAGGTCTGGAGAGAGGAAAACCCATATAATATGGTGGTAAATGGAAATGACCTTGGTAGAGGGAAGAAAAAACAGCAGACTAAGCAGCAGTCAGATAAGAGGCAGCTGAGCCTGCAGAAGGAATGGAGACATGGTAAATATCTCAAAAGTGATCCTTCCCAATTTTTTGGCTGTAAAGTAAAGAAACTTACTTTCAGACTTGCAAGAGTCTGTTAATATAAACTTATAATGAATCTAGTGCTCCTAAGCATGATTGTCTGGACTACCTTATAAGGGTCACATATTCCCAGATTGCATTTAGCTGTTTTTTTGTTTATTAAACAGAAATCACCTTGGCTTTCTAGAAACCTTATAGGAGATAAAAGAGAAGTCAACATTTGATACATTCTTAAAAGAGAGACTTATTCTTGCTTTTCAGTATTTTTAGCCAGTGATTAAATATTTAGAGGGATAATTAATATATTTACCAGTAAGATAATCCTTTTTTCATTTTTTCTAGAAATCAAGACTTTTTTTTTCATCTTCCCTATTGAGAAATGAGTTCTGTCTCACAATAGCAATATAGAAATCCAGGATTTTAATGTATTGGATAAAAATAAAGTTTTGAAGGGTTATGAATGGAATCTTTATTTCTAAAACATATTTTTAAATATCAAGCATGCAGATAGCGTCTTTCATTATTAAACTCTATTAGTTACAAAAACTTTTATAAAGCAATGTACAGTGGTGTTGTTATGCAAGCTTTGTAGGTGAGGGGTAAGGGAAGAGAAAGTAAAATGATTTATGGAAACCCTGCAAAGAAATCCAGTGGTTCTCCAATCTTTAGAGAAATGTAATGGGGCAGAAGTAAAGTTGAATTCCTTAAGTGGAATTTATTTTGGCCATATGTGATTGTCAGTCCCTTTTCAAACAATGAAAAATTATGTTCCACTTTCTTTGTTATTACTGAAATTATTTTAAACATATATGTGACAAGTAAACCTTCTGGACTTTCAATTTCGGTCCCTCAATCTCCAGATACACTGCTATTCTCTACATAGTATATAACACTGATTCTCTTAGATTCCTCAGGAAGGGGTGAAAAACCTTCTGTCTGCAGTTCTAGTAGTGGATGACAATTATCAAGATATTAACCCATAGTCAACTGGTCCATAATTTAATAAATTGACACAGGTTTGGAGATCCAGTGAACTCTGAATCAGTTACACTGGTCGGATTCATGCAAAAAAAAAAAAAAGGTTAAAATGTAGTAGTCTACTTTATGACTAAGTGTGATGTAAGAATAAGATCATTGTAGGCTATTCTGAACTACATGGACAAAAAGTAAAACTCTTTATACAGTATCTTATG